TCCTGTGGGTTTTGTATGCCGTGATGACGTTGGAGTTTGAAACGTTCGTAGAGCGAACAAATATATTTCGCTTTTATCAAGCAATAATGTAAAAAAATATTTTTTTTTTACCACAGTATCTTATATTATTTATAATTATACTTTAAGACAATATTGTATATCTCTCGTACAAAACTCACTTCTTTTTATACACTAACTCACACTAACGAAATATATATAGGTACATACAGCACAGATCTTTGTTCCCAAAAATAAAAGTCTTATATCAATAGATATTATACGATGAAAACATTTTGATTTGCCATAAAAAAAAAGACTTAGAACGTCATCGTCAAAATGTTTTTGCTCGACGTTTCAACTTTCAACGAAACATACGCCTTTTTATTTTTATAGATGTTTTAAAATGATACATAAAATGAGACAATTTCAGTTTACGATTTTACAATCATTTCAGTACGTCTCTTCTACAAGAGCTTTCTCATGAATAGCTCGCTTAGCTATTGTGTTGATAACAGTACTGGTTACTCTTCTGAGTATTAATATTTCTACAAATCCGCGGACGAGCGAGTAGTAGTAGTACAAAGAATAATGAAAAATCCACGGCGCTTTAATTACACTTGCAACGATAGAAATCACAATGGTCGAAAAAGCGGAAAATTTAATTTTCCTTTCTTTGCTACAGTTGACTGGATAAGTAAAATAAAAGTTTGTTTCTGGTCACACAAGGATACGTGTGTGTATGTCATTTTTTTTTTATTATTGAATATTTATTTATACAGTAACACGTGCGATCAAAAGCGTAAACAAAATGCGGTTTTTTTCGCGTTGTGCGATCGTGATTTTTATTTTTTTAATTCGAAAGTCAGAATTCATTGTTCGAGTCGCATCGATGCAATTCATTACGGCGATGCATGTGCACACGATATGCAGCTGTCGGTGATGAATAAAACTGCGAAGGAAGAGCCGCGCACCAACGTTAAAACATAATTCTTTCTCAGCATTTTTAAAGGGCGTCAACAATACACCACGTCGTGTGTGACGACAGCAAGAATACGAATCGATAATTCTGTCGTTATGCGACGCGGCCTCGATTTCAAAACTAAGTTTGTCTTGTATTTATTGAAACGCATTGCGACGTGCGAGCGTAATCTTGAATTATTGTCCGCATAAAAAAGAGTGAGTAGCTGTGAAAGAAGAAATCTCTTAATTAATCTCTTACACTTTTGTGAGCTTTCAAAAAAGTCACGTATACTTCAATATATTTACACAATACAATATGCTTTTTTTTTTTAATAAATTTAAATGCTAAAACTTTTTCTAGAGACTTAATCTGTCTTATTTCGCCACAAAATCATTCATTCGATTCGAACGCATTAAATTTCGGCACGAGAAACCAGTATTGCGAAACAGTTCCACGCGGAGCATTTCAATTTTTCACAGTGCACCTGTACAACAAAATATGATATCACTTCGACATTCGCCCAAAACACACAAGCACGCACAAAAACTTTTTTGCGGTTTCTATACAACACAGATGATGTTTCTTTAATTCTGAGTAGAAATAGAAAAGTCGGGTCAATACAATTACTTTTTACAACAAGAATATAATTGCAGAAATATTAATTTTCATTTTTCTGTCTTTTAGTTGTGTGTTCCTGACTTTTGTCCGAATCAATATAGTTTTTCAAAGTAGCGACACAAATGTCTATATGATATACACACGATCGCATATTGCATTAAACTAGTGAAGATATGATGTAAATTAGAAAGATGCATAGACGACGACCAACGTTTGATTTACAAAATGAAAAAGAGAGTTTTGGATAAATATGTCATGTTTATTTATTTGTGTAGCACACATAGTCACACAAAGATGGAAAAGTTTTATTATATTTGGCACGAGATGAAGAGCAATGTTTACATCCTAGCAAAGTTACAAATAGTGGAAGGTTGTGAAAAGGCAACAGTTAGATGGAATAGTGTGTGTTTGTGCTTCGGCTTACAAAGTTACTTTCTGGAAAGTGCGCTAAAGCACGCTCTCTTTCATACTCAAGTCTCTACTCAAAAACGCAATGCAAAGTACCAAAGTAGCTCGGCGACGATAATGTAATTGTGCTATCTTTAATGTAACTTTTGCATCAAGCGTAATTGAACTTTGATACAACAAGGCTTAGACAACTTCTCACCCGCTGATTTCGCCGAAACTTTGTCGCCTGCCTTATCAAAGGGTCCGCCTACAACCCGACAAGAACTGAGAAACTTGTTACATCGTTCCTGTCGCACAAACAATCTTTTATGTTCCCGTCACAAATATAAAAAAAACTTCAATAAATATCTTATATCAAAAGATATATAAAGAAGAAAAAAAAACAATGCAAAATTTGTAGTGAACAAATGAAACAAAAAAATTACTTTGCGTTATTTAAAAATAAAACATTTAATTAAAATTAAAGTTTCTTTTAAATCCTATCCAATTATTTATATATTACTCGCGTGTAAATCTAGCAGCAATTTATGCAGCAAACGTGTAACGTTTCACCGTTGTGCTCTTGGTATATGTAGCATCGTGTAATGCGATGAGACACAAGGGATATTTTAGCATCCTTAACTGATCAAAGGATACCAGAGAGATGATGATGCTCGTTAAGTTGTTCTTATCTCGCGGAAAGCTCTTTGACATGGTCGTGCTATATAAACATTATACAGAAAGAAGTTGTGTGTAATTTTCTCTAACTTTTGTTTTTACTCATATTATATTCGCGATTATGTCGTAAGAATGGAAAGCGCTTAAACTTGATTTAGGATTTGGCTCTCCGGGAAAAACGATCAATAAAAATTTTTGTCGTACGTATATAGTATTGTCATATATATCCTATAAAGCACATATCAAAATATAAAGAAAACGCGATTTATCATGTAAAAGACGACGCTGCCAGCCAATTGTCTATTTGCCAGTGTCAAACGTAAGGCTGATACGCATCTAGCAACAAGTCCATTTGTTTTCAAACACTACGTCGTACAAACGTTTGAATTAAGGCCAACAACGCATAAAATATGCCTTTTGTGTCGCTTTGTATATAAAATGACTGGTTTTCGTGCTTGCGAATGGAATTTTACAAGTCTGATCGGTCATAAAATGACAACATGACAATTGCTATTTAGTTGTTTATAGTAATAAAACGAATAACTTTTGACTCAAAAAAACGACAGTTATAGAAGACACATCGCAGAAATGTAATTTAACACATGCGAAAATCTAAATCAAAAATGATGAAGGAAAGATGGAAGAATTGCGAGTGTATAGAACGAGAGCAAATCGCAACAAACGTCGGCAACGTCCGTTGCAACTGACCGTGCTGCATCGGTGCATTTTCGCGGCGACGCGGCACTAATCTGTTTGGCTGAAAGCCCGTTTCAGAAGAACTAGCTACGGTACTTTCCGGTACACGCGCAAGTCGCCGCATCTCGCCAAAAATTACACGGTTATTTTCTCTCTTTCTTTGTTGCTTTTTTTTGTTATTAACTCTGCGCTAATTTTGATAACAATTACTCTCGCATCGCAATACATCGTGAGCTTGTATCGCAAGCAGCGCTTAAAGCAAACGATCGTACCTCACTTCTTCATTGTGATAACGAGATAATCTTTGCAAAAAAATAGCGAACGAATCGGAAATGAAGAGTGTGCATGCGCGCGCGAAAGCTTTCTTCGCCATTTTCATAAATCCTAAAAGAAAGGCTTTAAGCCAAAAAAGTTTACGTAGGCTTCTGAGAAAGACTTCTAAGAATTGACAATGCCCGAGAGGAGTTTTCAACCTTTCAAAAGTCTGCCTGGTATTTTTCTTTTACGGTTGTGGATTTTTGTTCAAGTCTCTGGAAAAAGATGTCATGCTTTATGATTTATAAAGATTAAAATTTCACAAATCGTTCAATACAATTGTGAATTTTTAATTATTCAGAAAAAATACTTAATACTTTTTACGGGGATTAACATTTGAAAAACAATGTTATTGAAAGACCTGCTAAAATTATTCTTAGATCTAAATTATTTTGCTACAGTAATTTGACTAATGAACATTTGTAATGTCAGTTATTTCTGTATAATATTATTATAATGAGAGAGAAAGAGAGAGAAAGAAGAAATTTCTGTTGCATTAATAAAGAGACTTCTCTTACATTCAATTTATTCTAAGGTCAATACCTTGCCTGCTCAGGTGAATTTAATTATTCTACGAGAGAACCGATACTAAAGAGAGAAAGGTTCTTCAAAGAAGTTTGAAGGACCGACAGAACGGATATTGGAAAGCGAGCGGGTGAAAATCGTAAGAAAATGCATCGAAAGCAAAAACACAGTTTTCCGTGGCACGAGTTTACTTCTTGAAAAGGAAGGAAATTAACTGCCACAAACCTAAGAGAACGTCTGTGTTCCGTCAAGTCATACGAATATAGATTTTCTATTACTATAAAACATTTTTGAAATGTATTTATATTTTTAGTATAATATTATACGATCTTGGATATTTTACAGAGACAAAATATATAAAAGTTGCTGTATAACGACACGATATAACGCGCAATTTAGCTCGATAAGATGCAAAAACTTGGTTATGCTCGAATATTAAATATTTTTGAAACATGAGCGAAATACGAGCGCACTATGTCGCATAATACGAGTGGATACAATGAAGGCTGGCGTACTTTCACGGCGGAACTTTTCACATTAGCAAAAGGCACAAGGGCGATATCAGGCGTACCACTCTGCGGAGAGATAGTTATATAGATCGCAAGAGCAATATAAATTAAAGTTTTCAACCATCGCTTGTAATTACTGTTTTGCCGTAGTTAGTTTCGGCAAATTTTACGCGTAATATTTCTCTGATACTTTTGTTGCACATCCTCTGTTTGTTCATTTTTTTTACAAAAGTCAGAATAGTGGTTCTTGTAAGATTATTTATTATTTTAACAATTCTCACTACTGAATATATTGAGATCTTTTTTCTTACCTTGTGAATTTTTGTCCTTCTTTCTGCGCCGCTGTCTCTTCTTTTGCATTTCCTCGACGTAATTCGAGGACGAAGAGTCATCCTGATCTGGATACTCGCGGTTTCCGTCTACCGATTGTCGCATCTCTTCTTGTCTCTTCTTGAGCAGTTCGTAAACTCTTTTGAAATAATCTTTGGTGATATCTTCGTTCGATTTATTCGCCAGCTCGGCGTTTAAGTATCCGAGATCGCTGTCGGAACCATCGCCGCCATTTATCTTCGAGTCGTAGTCGTTCGTGCATTCCTCCAGATTCTCGCTTCCATCGACGATCTTGAAAGTGTCGCTTTTCTTTACGTTCGAGCGAGCGTACAGCTCCCGGTAGTCCTTGAAAGTACTCTTTGACGGGATCGAGTTGTAGCCGAAGTCCGGAGAATTGATGCTCAACGCGGATACGCTGCCGACGTCATTGCGATTTCTCACTTGAATCTTGCCGATTATCGGCGATAGACACCTGTCCTTGTTCTTCTCTTCAACAAGCAAGTAATTCTCTTGCAAGCTGGTGCCAGGTCTGCTGTCGTTCGCCGATGAAGTCTCATCATCTTTCATATCGGTTTCCTTTCTCATCGTCGATTTTTCATTTTCTTGATGGAACTTCTCGTTCTGTTCGTTAAACGGATTTACACAGTTTCTTAAGTTTTGACAGATCTTGCAGTTGCGCGACGAGCATAGATCGCGTTGCAGATCCTTCCATCTCGGTTTACTCATAAAGTCGTCCTCTTCTGGTACTTCTCTCTCCGATTCTCTGTGAAACCGTTCGCTTCTCTTCCGCTCTTTGTATTCTCTCCAGGACCTTTCCACATTCTCTTGGCTCTTCATACGTCTCGGGAGATTTGCCACGTCCTTGCAACTGTCCGTACTGATTGCCGTCGCCGCTGCTTGTCCGAGCAAAACGTCGCTTTTTGTTTTTCGATAGAGTTTCCTTCTGTCCGCGTTCGACGATTCCCTCTTCAACTGCGGCTTTGGCCGATCATCCAGTTCCGCAGCTTCAACCAGAGCTTCGCTTCTCGATCGCCTATACGTACGTCTTTTGAGCTGGAAAGCATCTGGGAATTCTTTGCAGCTTTTTTCTTTCTCTTCAAATTGTTTGCACGACTTCTCCTTCTCGAGTACTTCAGGATCGAATCGCAAAATACTTGTCTCGCTGCGCACCTTCCGTGTCCTGTAGTTCTTCCGATTGTTCTCGTGACTATAGTCCGAATATCTCTTTCTAATTCTATTATCGACAGTTTCCGAAACGTCAGCGCAAACTGCCGATCTACAACGCGCCTGTTCCATATTCATTCGCTGCTGTATCTTCTCGCGTAGAAATGTTCTGATCTTCGCCAACTCCTTCTCGGACATGTCATACTTTATCTTACGAATTACTTTATCCTCTGCGTTCAACGTAGAAGTCTCTTTCGCCGAGTTTTCTACCGAAATTATAGTGTTTCTCGATTGTGTCGTTTCTTCGCTTGAACTCTTCTCTTCGAAATTGACGGTGTCGTTTCTCATCAAACTGCGACTTCTTGAATATTTCTCATTCGGTTTGAATTTACCATTCTTCGTTTCATCTCCGCCGCTTTCTTCCTCGCGAACTAAGCTCAACAATGTCTCGCTCTGACTTCTCAGATACGCTTTAACTTTTCTACATCTGTCCTTAGCGACTTCTTCAGGAGTCTTGCCAATTGTGCTGCGCGTACATAAATCGTTCATGATCTGTTGCCGAAGATAATCACCGGCAGAATATGTCTTGACTCCTGACGTTAATTCCTTAACGTTCCTCTCGATCTTTGTCTTCGCTGTTGTATCTTCTGACAAACGAGTGGCGGACGAGTGTCTCTTTTTCTTGCTTCGTTCCTCCTTAATACAAACTTCGCTTCGTGACTTTCGCGGCGCAAAGTTGCACGTGCCGAATTTGCTGCTAAAGCCGTCGATATTACGATTTCTCTGAAACGGTGTCACAATGAACGACGCGGAAGTGGAAGACGTTGACGCGGACGATGTCGGTTCCTTGCTCTTTGAGCTGGCTCTTGACTCGTCGATGGGGAATTGCTCGTGAGTTTTCAGACCTTCCTTGAAAGAACCTCTGGCTCGTTGCGCCGTTCGCCCTGTTGTCTCCACCAGAAGCCGACCGTCCTTGTCGAGCAGTTGGATGACAGGCAACGCGTCGGCGGACGTCGTCAGTTCCCACTCCCAATGCAGCGGTTTCTGCAGCTTCAACCGGATGATCGGCTCCGCCGATTCGCTGAGGCCCGTGGAATCCGGACCAACCGGACTGGAAGTCGTCGCGCGAACGATCGGATGAGCGTTCTTCATGGTCCCGGTTTCTTCACCGTTCGCTTAAATAATCTGCTGGAAAACCCGCTCCACTCGCTCGCTCGCTCGCTCGCTTGATCGTTCTGATTAATTTTTCGTCCCAAACGGGTTCGCCGTCCGGGTTGAATTTCTTTTAAACAGGCTTTGCCTTGTCCCGGTCAATTTTATGAGCCCTCGAGACAGACTGATCGTTGTCTCGTTTTTCGCCCAACCGCGTTCACGATGATTGTCCGATAACGTTTTATTCTCTTGACGAAAATTATTTTTCTTGTTTAATAAAAACAAACACTATTTTCGTTTTAAGCATGTGGTTTCTTCCCTGATACTGATTAAATGTTGCAAATATAAATTGCAGGCACTATTTTTTGCGTGAGGCCACACGATCGTCGAGTTCACAAAACGATTTGAGAGACGCAGACTGTGCAACCGGTTACATGATTGAAAGTCGTCGTCGTTGAACCGTTCGCCTAGCGATAAGCTCCGAGTTAAAACTGCAGTCCCGTTTTCCAAGCACTCGCGAATATAGCAGCTGCGTGCAATAGTATGCGTTCTCGAGTTGCCACATTCGGGTTGTTGCATTCGCTGCGTGATCACATGATCGGCGACGAAGAGCGGACACGATCGCGAGACGGCGAGCTGCCGGTTCGCTCGTTCGTATCGTGGCGCGCAGTCCAAGTTCGCGCCGCGTTACATCGCTTACGTAACGCGACCTCGCGAGCTTGGCAGTCTGTCAAAACTCGCGGCGGAGACTCGGAGTTAACTTTCTTTCTTGTCTGTAGTTGATGGAGATGATATGCACACACATATACAGGGTTCCACGTTATACACGTCTCACATTGCGGGCAAATTTCGCGGAAGATCCATCTCCAGCGCGTTCCAGCACGCCGCTCGTAATTTGCAAAAACAGACGCCGAGCCGCTTTGCTCGCGAAATGATAGCACACATGCACGAGCGTGGTATGTTTGTGTGCGTCTGTATATCGCTGCAGGCAGTGATATTAATTAAATATGTTTCATAGACAACGTGCGCACGTAATAAACTACGTAATTCGCAATTAAATTTTCGTCAAATTTTCCTGAGATTTTATTTTATTTTATTTTATTTTATTTTTTTACAATATACAAAAAATTTATTTTATCTTCTTTATTTATTAATGAAGCACACACACTTCTTGTCAATGTTCGACGAAAAGTCAGTTAATTAACAACGCACAACAAATTGCTATGCCAATCGCAGATCTAATTTTCTGGCGTTTTAGTACAACAAATGCACGCGCTCGCGAGCAACCGTGAGTACGGGGAAGGTTTGGAAGAGGAAAATATTTCCACGACCTTCAATCTACCGGAGTTTAATCGCACACGTATAAACTTTCCGAAGGGATTCGTTCGGGTATCGCGTGATCGATCGCGAACTTCGTGATCGTCGTTTTCGTTCCTGTTCGAGACGCGGAGGATTTCGATCGGTCGATCGACGGATGTGTATCGGTTAATCGTCGCGTAACTTGCACGGGAGGCAACCGTGGATCTCACTGAAGAATCAGAGCGAAGAGAAAGAGAAGCGAATCTAGAGCTGAGCGACGCGGCACTACTGTAAATGCGCGCGGTGGCGTCATGCCGATCCGAAAATAAATCCCGCGGGATTCATCGAGTAGGGTACAGGAATTCCAACACGTGGGATGTGTCACGAATATCAGCCGAGACTTACATATGTGTTGTTTTTATTGCTCGCGCACAGATGTGCGCACTGCGTGGGTGATACGAAATCGTAATTGGAATTTGTATCGAGATTACAACATTACTGTTTGATCGCACGCAAATCGTTGTATTATTTGCATTTAGGATTGTATATTGCTAATTGCATAATGTGATTGAATGTCATATATAAAAAAATTCAAAAAATATAAAGTTAATCGGTACTAATTATATATTTTTAATAAAATATTCAGAATATGTAAATATAAACGTGCATTAGTAAGCATGTTTATATTTGTTCTTAGAAAATAATTGCAAAACTTACGAAGTAAGTTTAAGTTTATAAACCAGTGAGTTAAAATGATAAACAAGCGCTCTGAGTAAAGTAGACGCGCGCGCAAAACTAATTTTAAATCTGCAGTTTTAGAAGCTGTATATTTACTCAGCTTAAATTTGATTCATAATAACCGCGACATTACGAGATGATATATATCTCAGATATCTCCAAAAATAATTTTGATTAATAAACTAAGAATAGAATCTTTTTATTCGAAATTAAGTAAGTTTGAATTTTTTATTTCACGTAAAAGTAACCAAAAAAAGTAACACACACATATAAATATGTGTGTAATAAGTAGTAAATATCTGCTTTTAAATAATTCAAGATCATAGATACATTTTGTGTCAAACACGCGTCGAAGAAGATACATGACGTCGACTGGCAACTACAATATCGATATATCTCAAGAATAGATCATTGCCCTGCGAGAAATTTGTTTACGATCGATCGTGGGCAGAGTCGGCGGACGCTTGTATTGGTGCTTACATCTCAAACGAGTGTAGCATAAAATATTGTCGATATACGTTCGGGGTTTCAATATTTATTTCTTATTTGATTTAAAATTCATTCAGGCATTAATTAAAATTAATAACTACAGTCATTGTAAAATTGCTAAAATAGCATGTCAGCATAACGCTGCAAATGCGCAAAGATTAAAAATCCTGATATTTTTCAATATAATTTAAATAAAATTTTTAATATAATTTAAATAAAATTTTTAATATAATTTAAATAAAGAAGAGCTTCATATATGATTTCTTGAACTCAATGCACTCGATTTGATCGATACGACAGTTGCGCGATTGCATCCAAATTCGGTTAGTTTGTAATTACAGGAAGATAGGTATCCTTATATTTTGGTTTGAAATTAGTCATCTCCAGCAATCATGATGCGATTTATACTTTCAACAGAAATTTAGATTTAATAAAAGAGAGAATTTCGCGTACCCACGACTTAAAACAAAGTTTTTAGAAGCGGTGATGATTCTGTGAAGGGACTCTGACAAATCGAAGAGACAAAATTATTTTATACAGCATAAAAAATAATAATTTATTCAGCATCCAGCAGATATAAACGTACAGTAGACTGCTGGGAGTTACATATCTATCCGAATAAATGTAAACGAGAATTGTTGAATAGCTCGATAACAAATTGCATCACCGAGCATATAGCCAAGTACGCAGCTTGGTCTACGTAATGACCTTGTCATTTTTTTTTTTATATAAATCTCCTAAATATTATAAAACGCTATTAAAATATTCTGTGTCTAAAAACGCATCGAGGAGATTGAGAAACGATAAAATTGTTCTAAAATGATTCTTTTACACACGATCGCTTTTTTTATTCTTTCTTACATCTATTTCTAACAGGTGTCCCGGCTTCTGTGCCAAATACATTCGAATGTACAGGGCGTATTGTGCACGTGGTTCTTAATAGTCATGGTTCGTCGCTAATAAGAAAAACACATTTTCTATTGTAACACCACGATACCAAATTCAATCACCGAAGATAATTCGAAACTTACTCTCAGAATATAGATAAACTACAACATGATAATAAAAAACAACATCAGTGGCTGTAATAAAAAAAAAAAAAAGTTAATTGCCATCTGTATCACGTATGTTGTACGAATACAAAAAGCGGTATAAAGGAACTGCTATTCTAAAATTCTTTTAGCTTTTGCGGGAAAGCTTTTTGCACACCTAAACAAATTCTGCGCTTCTCACAACAGATCTATGCGCTAAGTAACGTTATATAAAACTCCGTATAATCAACGGGAGATTGCATTACATAGCGTTTTACAGAATCGTTATCACGCAATAATACTTACATTTATTGTGTTTACATATATAGTATATATATGACAATAATACGCGATAATACAAGTATATATATGCGCGTGTAATAATACTAAATTGTAATAAGCATTCTCTTGTAGCTTATCTAACCGCGTCGCTGTTTAGCTCGTACAAATGCAAATGCACTCGCTCGTACGACAAATCATAATACTTACAATAAGTCAACAGAACATACCCTTTGCGTAATTACAGGCGCGTTACGTTTCGTTTATCGCGGAATTGCACGTTTTCCAAGGAAATTGCTATATCACGTTCTATATTGCTGCATCTCTCATTGTAAAAAATACTTGCGTCGTGACACCTTGAACCCTTATTGCGTAAGCTGGTCTGACAGGAACTTGACAAAGGAGAACTACACGTACGTAATCGCAATAAGCATTCTATATTACCGCAGCGCGCGCGCATTATTATTTATTCAAAATAACATTCTCCAAAGGGAATAACTACTATTGATTTCATGAAATAACATATTAATGTCTTTATTTCGCGAAGAGCGTTTATAATACGTATCATCTCTCTCGCGTATGTTGTGTTTTAAACATTTGTGTTTGGAATATATATGAAATAGATTTCATTAAAACACAGTTTTTGAAAAGTAACTATACAATTCGTCACGTAAGAACCGGTACCAACAACAAAAATTTACGTCGCATCGTATCTATGTTAAATCAGTAGTCGCAGTGATTCCAAATTGATTCCAACTCTGGACTCACACAATCTGGACTATTTTGCACTAAAGGAACATACCGAGATACGTGCAACATATGAATGGCGCAACAAGTGTATTTTGCCGCTATTCTATTCACGTAAATTAGCGCAGTGGGACACGTCGTCGAAAATTCGCAAGGATAAGTCTCGACAATAACAAAGCAGTCCACTTTCGGAAATATATATCTAAAATATTCACATAGTATAAAATAACAATACACGAAACTTTTCCAAGGGAAGAACAGATCTACGCGAGATGAATGTGTTTTTACAGCTTGCATTGCACAGCTTGCAATCGCATATGCTCTTTCTACGCGCAATAGCCTCTTCGAGTTTGAATTTGAAATAGCATATACTTACTATCTCATTTTGACTGTTGCTAATTTAATTTGTAAGACAAATTATAAGGAAGCATGCGCATTTGAAATAACGCAAATTTGCTCTAGCTTTCTTTTTGACTGAACTAATTTTTAAAACGTAATCAGAAAATATAATTCAAACCTTGTATACATAGAAAGTTCTCTGTTCAAATTACGTGCTAGAAACATTTTGCGCCGATGTACAAGTTAATAAAAAAAAAAAAGAAAAAAAAATTTGTCCAGCACTCGAGAAGACCGGAAATTAGAGTATTTTACGAGTCACAAGCCGAATCACAATTGGTAGAAAAGAAACTATCGTGTTCCCACAAATCAACCGAATTCGTTCACGATCACGGGAATATCCAGACCGCGTTTGCATTTAAAGCATTCGAGATCGAGCAGCAAACGGTCTGTTTGAACGAGCGATTCACCACGAATCCTTTCGGAACACATTGGAAATTTGATTGTTGCAAATTCACTTGTCGCTTACGACTGAATTTCGCGCGTGAGATGTATCTTGCTTATTAAAACATACCATTGAATGAATACTTTGAACCGAAAAATTGACATTTTAATTTTACCTTCAAGTAAAGCTTTGTTTTTTTTTTCTGAAAATACATACATTTTAGTTTCATAAAAAACACGCCACTCATCAATCATACGAGCAAGCGTGATTTACTTTTTAGCAGGCGTTGCACAATTTCGTAAGAGAGATCTATTCTTCGGTTGATGACAAAAAAAACAAAATCACAATGTCACACGCGATGTAACTTGCTTGAGATTCGAAGAGAGCAACGGCTCATAAAAACTACGTATTATTTATATGGTACAGTAAAATACGAGCTGCGGAATTTCTGGTTTTGAAACGAAGCAGTTAATACCTGGATTCTCCTCGTGACTGGCTACTGCATGTATCTAAAAAGAAAGAAAATAATTAATAATAAACAAGAAGAAGATTCTTCGGGCTCCGGAGTCTTTAAACAAATGAATAAAATAACTTCGATTGTAGGAGCCGTTTGCAGAATGTTGTGCAGAGAATGTGCTTGAAAAATGTATATATGTATACACATATATACGTATATATGTATACACATATAAAAATTATTTCGACGTATATATGTATATACATATATACATTTTTCAAGCACATTCTCTGCACAACATCCTGCAAACGGCTCCTACAATCGAAGTTATTTCATTCATTTGTTTAAAGAAAATAATGTTTTAATTAAAAGCTTATATTAAAAAAGTAAACAAAATAGACGCGATACGAACACTTAGCGATTCGTGAACAAGAGCATTATTATTATTATTATTATTATTTATTTGCATTTATTAAACATAAAGAATTGAAAACTTTACATTTAAAACATGTAAAAGTTTGCTTTTAACTGACCTGCGCAACGGCATCCCGTCGCTGCAAGGAATCCTGACTGGCGTCCAGCAGTTTCTCCGACTTGATTTCGCGAACAAACTCTTGGCAATTCCGCGATGACGGTGGAGCTTTGTTCTTTTTCGACGTGTTCGCGGCAATCTCCGAGGATTCATCCCCGTCGAAAGTTTCTGAGTGAATCACAGTAAAACCGCCCAGAAACTGCACCGACTTTTTCGCACTGGGTTTAGTTAGTGGCGCGCGTGTTTTCTCGTCGAGCACGTGGACGTTTTTTTTATACTCTTGCGTCATCTTTGATTCAGCTTCCGTTTTGCAGACCGACTTATTGGTAGAATCTTCTGGATGCCTCGAGGCGGACGAAAGCCAAGTATTATTAGACATTTTAGTAACATCATTTGATGTGACGCTTTCGATCCCAACTTTTGTTCCCCTGCTGTCTTTTGTTACTTCGGGTCGGTGCGAGTTCTTCGCAGCGATGGGCGACGCGTGACTTTTGGTGGTGGACTTACACCTAGCTACTTTTTCCCTATCGTTAATTTTAGAATAACTCTCGACATTGGTAGCCGCGTCGCTCCGAATCTCGTAATACTTAACGAAGCTCCTAACTTTACCCGGGGTTATCGTTACAATGTCACGAGACGATTGGTCGTTATTTATACTATCTACAGGTGTTACGGCTCTGTTATTGTCATTATTATTACAAGGGATTACAGAAGTAATTTTCTTAGCTATGGCACACTTATCGCCGCTATCCGTCTTAGTTTCTAATTCTAGTATCGACTGACTCGCTATTCTCTTTTGATCGACGGCGCTTTCATTCGCGTTTACTTTGTCAGTCTTTTCTTCACCGCGGCGAGTCTCTTCTGACATTACATTATGCTTTTCAAATTCTTTGCTGTCGAAGATCTTGTTCATTGTCGCGGGCGCGCCAATGGGAATTCTCTTCTGAAATTCGTTTGTCTGCTCGCACTCAGTTTTTGTTTTCTTGAGTATTGGCTTGGGAATATCTTGCAATTTTTTCAACTCTAGTTTGATATCGACATTTTTTGAAGTTGCTAATGTTTCCTCAATTTTTATTTCTACGCAGGTCTCTTCCGGTGAGATATCTGAAGATTTCTCCTTGATCTTCATTTTTGTCGGGGAGCTATCCTCCACGATTTTAGTTTTTATATTGCACGATGATTTCTCGACCATCGTTATCTGAATATTTTTATTTCTTATAGTTTCCTCATCAATTGCAGGATCACAAGTGTCATTTTTACTATCCCGAGATCTCTCTTCGATCTTCATTTTCGTGAAATCTTCTTTCTCTACGATTCCCTCAACGACCGGTATGTCATTATTCGCGTCAACAATCCTGCTTGTAGGATCACGACAGACTTCGTCTCGAGATTCTTCAAACGTCAGCAAGTCAAAGCTCGCATTTTCTTTCTCTTTGCAAATTCTATTATCGATCACAACCGGGCAAACAATATTTTCGTTATCGCCTATCTGCGTAGTTGATTTTTTATTTTCGATACTTACTGTTTTTAACTTTATGTTACTAAAGTTATAAAGCAATTCGTTCAGTACGTCATTCTTCACATCACCGACACTTTTGTTTTCTGATTGCATTATGTCAGTGCTTGGAACTCTGGTAACCTTTTTTATCTCCTTGGATTTTTTTAAAACTTTTTGATCTTTTGTGTCCATTTCTATTGCTTTATTGAAGACAAGTTCGCTTTCTCTCGTGATATTCGTGTCCAATTCTATTTTATCTGATGCTTCCTTTGTAATGTTCAAAGCTTCATTTATGCTTGACAAAGACACTATAGATTGAGTCGAGATCACTTTGAAATTCAATGGAATATCTTCTATATCATTGGATAGCATAGTTTCCAGAAAAGAGTTTCGTCTGACCTTTACAGGAACATTTTTCTCGAAAATCTCTTCTAGTGGCAAAACGTTTTCACGATTATTCTCTGAATCTGAAACAGAATTGTTTGTTTCCTCAGTTTCTTCAATCGACAATCGTCGTGTTTCTTCGATTCTAGCAGATTTATTTGTCAGATCGTCAAAGAAAGTTCTTTCTTTCGATCTATTGTAAAAAGTGTCCTGATTCACGTTATCGGCAGCGTGATCGTTTAGAGAATTTTGAGATAATTCATTGAAAAGGATTGTTACGTTCTTGGCCGTACAATTCTCTTTAATGTCATCGGTAGCTGTTTTAAAAAATATTTCTTCTTCTCGAGTTGCTCTTTTTTGAATTATTTCCTCAGTGTTTGCTTGTTCACTTTTGCAAGCCGTTTCTGAGCTTTCACTTGAAAACTGACAAGTGTTCTCGGTGATTTTTGACGTAACATCTAGCTTCTCACTCTGATATGTTTGTTTTACAGCGCATTCTCCGCTTGTAGCAGTTTCTTCTATTACTAACGTCTGCCTATTTTCTTTTCCGCTTTCAAGATTCTCATGCTCGTTTTGCAATGTCCAATTAGATTCTTCTTTACCAATTTTCTCACAATTAATATCGTTACTTTTATCGTTACAATGCATTTGCGGAACTGTCTTTGATATTGCCTCAGCTTTGTTTAAACTCGACGGCATAAAGGCATCGTCATTCATCGTTATGAAAGTTTCTTCCTCAGAGGCACTCGAAGCGCTTGATTTATTTTCCAAAATGTCCCCGCAATCTTTTACGTCCATGGATTTGTCTTGTATTTCAGTTAACTTCACGGAAAAAACGGTACTTTGTACGCTGGTTTGCTCATCATTTGCAAGGACAAATTTACAATTTCGCTCACTATCGGATGACACACTGCTTTTTCTATTGAAGTCGTGTTTCGGACTGTTAAAAGGAGATGTAATTACAAATCGTACTTTCGTGCCTGCACGGCATTCTGAATAATCATTGTCATCGGAAATATAATCGGACGTTTTTCGATTATTTTTGTTCACGCTATCTTCGAATCGGCAATCATCAAACTTCTGACCAAAGTTTTCATCATCAAAAGGATCTCTCCACCTGTCCAGACACTTCTCGAATGGAAGATTCGTCGTCGTCACGCGAAAACATATGTCATCCGGTATACACGTTATCGATGACTCTTCATGAAAATCGTCGAGATTCGTGGAAGGCACGTTTACGAAATCGTCTTTATTCCGCATGGAAGACATCACGTCCTCGAAATCGTGTAGCGTGAAGAAGAGCGGTGGATATTCCTCGAGTGCTCTTCGTTTAGATGAGGAGGACAGAAACGGCGGTTTTGACGCGGTCGACTTCGGAACTGGGTCGTCACTCGCGTTGTTGCTCGCCGCCGAAAGTTCGGATATCGCATCATCGCGCGATCGCGGAAACTTCGTTTCGATCATACCGGTCGCGGTGTCGGTGGTGTCGTATTTGTTGATGACACTTTCGGCACTTGGACAATTCGGCATGTCGCATTGCGGCTGACAGCTTTTGACGGCAACTCGAGATTTGTTCCGTCGACATTTCTCCGGCGGGGTCGGTAGAGGCGGCGGCACCGGTTGTAAACATTTTTCCTGAGATCTCACATTATTGTTCGTTATCGCACCGCGATGGCTCGTCATCGATGGCGCGATCGGTGCCGATATGATTTTCTTGCGTTTCGTTCGCCGTGGTGGCACGGGTGGTCCGGTTGAAGTTTCATTATCTGTCGTATAAAAAAAATCTTTTAACTACAGAGATAGATTGTTTTTTTTGTTAAAATAAGGAAAAATAAAGATTTCGAATAATTTTTGAGGAAATTTCAAATATTTGATGTCGTTGTTATAATCGCGATTCTTACAATTATGCATAATATAACCGAATATGTAAATGTAATTAAGTTGAAAAAAAAAAACAATTGATTAAATCCAGAATGCGAACGCGAGAGAATAATCACGACAGACTGTCCGAGACGTACTAAAGGTGAGTCCTTAGAAATGACACGACAAAACTCCCCTTTTCGTAACACGGTCAATAGTAATACTTATATGTCACACACGTTACCACATATAATTTTCACATACTGACTGTAATTTATTTGAACACTAACTATAAATAATAATATATTTTTTTAGTTTAGCATATATTATTTTTATAAAAAAAACTAAGAATAAAATCTGTTTATTATTATTTCTTAAATATGAAAACGTTACACACACTCGCGTAAAAGTTCGTTAACAATTTTCCATTGTACTTTTCAGCGAGTAATGTTGTTGAAATTTGTAACGTTAGTCAAGTGAAAAAATATATTAAAAAAAAAAAAAATACTTTTTAAACACAGTATTATAAATTTACATCTTAAGAAATCGATATTACTTATCTCTTATATTTAATAAATTGTTTTACTCGATGAACGTTCCAAACTTCAACGACATCAATGATAAGAATTGCGAGAAGAATATACACTCAAAGTAGGGCTTCGCTAAATGGATAACACTAATTCGATTATCTGACGTAAATGCTATCTTCGGCAGTGTGTACAGTCTAATAAAAATCGCAGTCTTTTCACAAATAGAATTAATTATAGATAAGTTCTTCTCCCGTTTACGATCAAACAACAACAACACACGTAATGTAATGTATCAAGAAATTATTTTTTGTTCATCACTCTCTAAAATTATATTATTTTTATAGTATTTACCTAAATGAAAACTTGATGGCTTGCTCTACTGACGTCGAAGTCTTCTATACTTAGCAGCATACTGGCAGATTTCAACGCGTTATTGTCGATAAGTTCAGTCATATACAGGCTATTTGCGGTATTATGATTACCCATTGCGCTGGATGCGGCACTGCTATATGCACTCGAAGTATTCTGCACTGATGCTACGTCCGTCGTTTTCTGAATGATCCATTTGTTTGTCACACTGGATGCTTCCGATGACACATCAAATTTAATATCACTATAAAAAGAAGAAAGAATTTAGCCAAAATCTGTCTTTAAATAAAAAGTAATATTTACATACTTATACATATACATATACATAACAATGCATAAATCAACACACATAATTACACATATAATTTTATTTAAATTTACTTAAACTTAATATTTGTAAGAAATATATTTGTTTTATATAACTATTGTCTTAGTACATTTCTAAAGTATTAATTATATTTGTTCAAACGCTCACTGTAAGTAATTGCTCTGTACAGTCCGCTGATCTCTAGATTCTATGTGATTCTTCCGATTTGTGAGTTGCGAAAGAACCAACTCAATTGTTTCGGACGAACTCTGTAGCATCTTCAGAGCGTCCTCGTAGCAAAGGTTTAACAGATTCTGCCCATTTATCGCTACAATCCGGTCACCTAAATAATTGACAAGAAACTATTATTTTTATATATCTGTTTCTCTCACGCTCGATTTATTTCACATTATTAAACGAATATTTTACTTGCAAACCTTTATTGACATTTCCGGCCATATCAGCAGATCCGCCAACAGAGACCGCCTGAACATAAACGCCGCCGTCATTACCCTCAGTCACTTGCAAACCTATGCTACCACCGTGGCCGCGTTCCAGTTTGATCGTGTGTAAAATTCGTTCCTCGGCGAACGATAGCTCTTCCAAACGAACCATTAAAGATGCAGACATCGATTCATCTTCTGGAACCCGAAACGTTTCGTCGTTGGATCGTATATCGGTATCTATTCAAAAAAAAGTAAACAGACAACATTATAAGTTAGAAACATTATTTGTGAAAAACATTTTGTTAAAATATAAATTTGTCTGAATTTATATCAATCGTGTTGTACAGTTTAAAACTTTTCAGTTTGACTATTACCTATAGTAAGGTCATTATTTATATAATTATACGTACACACACACATGTAAAGACGTACACTTGAAATTGTTATTATATTTAGATATATGTAATATTAAAAGTGATAATAATTAATGATAACACAATATATGTACATGTATATGTTCTTAAGTAAAATATATAGTGTTATTACTTAGCACGTATGCCTCCGGCATGGGAGATTCGTTGGATCGCGCTGATAACGATTGGACAGACGATTCGGTGTCGGATTTTAGTGATAAAGATTCTGTATCGTCGGTAAGCGCGGCATCTTTCTGCGCTAAACTGCTGTAAATTGCTCGCGTTCCCATTTTCACACCTAACCGACGTGGCAAACTGGGTGTACGAAAACCACTCGATTGTCTTGACGTGCCGTAGTTCGGCAAACTGGATGTCTTCATCTGCAAGTGATCAAACTCGTATAAACTCGTTAAAATAGTTACATTAAATATCTTAAATATATTAACATGTTTTTTTTTTTTTTTATCGTTATACCTTGTGCAACGTTTTTTTCACGTCTGAGTTTTTTTCAACGTTTAAAACTTCATCTGGAACAGGAAGTTTGTTTTTTTCTTTCAGACGGACTTTATTAATAGCGGCATACAAGTCTTCAGGATTCTTAGGTTTATCTATTTCAGCGATATTGCTCGATATAACTTGTGGGAGTGAGTATGTACATTCGGTTTCTGTCTCGCTTTCAAGACCGGGAGAACCGTAAAGTTTGTTATCAGATTCTGGTTTGGTTTCTACGTGTTTCAACAAGATTACGTTTGATGTTGTTAAATCTCTGTCCGATTCTTCTTCCGTGTCTCGCGATTCACCTTCCGGCTCCAATCGCACGTTCACTTGCGCATAAAGAGCGTCTTCCTCCAATGAATAAAAGCCGGGTTCGCGACCGACGTCTTTAGCTACTACTACATTGCTATCCTTTTGAGGATTTTCGTTTTCTTTATTTTGATACTCCTCCAATTGCATTGTATAATTCACTTTCTGTTGCGCTTTAACTGTGTTTGCAATTGCTATCTTGGTTTTACCATCGCCAGTTTTTGTCTTTAATGGTGTTGTTGTTTTTGTTTCCAGAGGTATTCCGAAGTCTGGAAAACGATAGAAAATTATTTTTTCTAGACATCTTTATCTTTAGTCAAAGAAAAATATAACATATGAATAAAAGAGAAGAATGATCAATTTACTTTTTATATGTGTGCGTAATTGTACATGTACGTGTTAAAATTATTTGCATTTAAAAAATCAAATGTAGTACGATTAATTTAAGTGACGTTTGTGAGCAGCATTAATTAAGATATTTTGTGCTTAAGTTTTATTTATACACAAAAAGATTAACGACAAATAATTATCACTAGAAATTTCAACTTAATTTTCTGCGATATTTACGCTTCAAGATTTTCATAGAAAAGCAGTGCTGAAACGCGGAGAGCAAAGTGTCGTAATTTAGGTAGTTTCCCGCCGCATAAGTTTCGCAAGAAAGTTCAACTTCCCTAAGCATTTCAGCAAATTTAATCGATAGGAAAGAGTGTACCTTTCGCAATACCCTGAAGCGACGTGAGCTCTGAACGAAGTCTCAAGAAGAACTGATGATGCAGGGAGGTAAGTTTGAAGGCAAAGTAACTTCTAGAAAATAGAAAAGAGAGTACATTAACATAGATCGTTAGCGTTTGCGGGCAATGATAGACGTGTAATCACTACATATATTTCCGTTTCAGACACCGTTCGTAATCGATCTCTTAAATCACGAAACAAAATTACAACACTTACTTTCGATGATCCATCCGCAATTTGAACTTGCATCGTTTTCCGTTTAGCTTGCTGTATACCACCAGACAGCTCTTACTATAACTCAACGTTTGCACTTCTCGCCACTGAAAATTAGCTAGTTCCGTTCTCTCCCTCGGCTCGCCTCCCCGCTCCAGCAATTTCAATCCTTGAGAATGTATCGCCAGCCACACGTTGCTTTCCGTTTTTTTCTTGCCGTCCTTGTTCTTGTTGCTATTGCCATTAACGCTATTGATATTATTGCAGACTTCGTTGCGGCGTAACTTAGGGCTCGTCGCGTGCTCGTCCGTGTGCAAAATCAACGGTGCGTTATCACGAGAAACCGATTGGGCTCTGCTGTAAGCAGGACAGATTTCCCGACTGGATTTTTCTTGCCGATAAGCATTTTTCGAACCGTCGGGCGACGACACGACGACGTTGTCGTTGGACACTGCGTTTTTACTCTTTCGCTGCTGCGCTATCAGTTTCTCCAACTCTTTGGAGTCCATCGTGGCGATGTAGTAGTGCGAGCCGTAATCCGGCAAGGATTGCGCGTGAGTTATGAACATCTCTTCGGCTTTGTTCGAATCCAGACCATAGCGATCGCGGTGAGCGCGGTGTAACTGCGCCCGAAGTGTATCGGCGTCGACACAGGGCTGCGATTGATGCCGATTCGCGCTCAATATTAGTGCCTCCGGTACATAGTGCTCGAGGAGGAAGTAATCTCCGCATCCGTGCTCCTGTGGAGCGTACAATAACTTCAATGAAGCAGAGAAATTGCTGGTGAACTATGAAATTATCGTTACTCTATCTGTACGCGTGTCAGTTCCATGTTTTCAACTATTATTTTACCCAATGAGAACTAGTTCATCTTCGATTAGTAATCGCTTAATTATCCTTGCAGCTAATCGATTTAAATTCTTAGTAAAATCAAATCACATTTTTTATTTTAATTAACTGTCTAATTAACAAAAGTTAAAGATTAAAAAATTCTTTCCAATTTACTCATGTGTAAAAATGATTTTGATGGTTTTTAATTGTCATGTAGGAATTAATTCTGCAATGCGCGGAAAAGTAAAATTTTCGCGGAGAGTCACAAATATTCTCATTACTTTTTGTCGCAGCTCCAAATTTTACTTAATAGTATTATTTAGAACTTAATGATCATTCGAGATCCTAACGTTCTCGAATAGTTCACTGTACTGCGACGTTAATTTCATTTCAAGTATCGTATGGATCTCTCGTTAACTCACGGTGACGTTGTAGTTCCCAAATTCGGCTTGAAGCGCAAGACCCGTCAGATTTATTAATTCGGAATAAGGACAAACCAGCTGCTGCTCCAATATACATCGCCTTATTTGTAAGTATAGTAGATGCTTCGATATCCAATTTCTGAAAACGATACGATCAATCAGTTACAATGATCAAGTCATATGTATTGTTGTTGTCGAATTTGGCTTGAGAACAAACCTGATGCCACGAAGGGACGGCAGGAAGAATCGAAGCCGCAAGTACAACATGAAACTGGTCGGTAAACCCAGAAGACCTTTGCTCTTGCCGCTGCTTAACCATCCCGGTGGTGCGACTTTATTCAATTTCGTGTCAGGTGGTAATATTGCGAAATCCCCGGCTAGTAATACAGCCAGTCCTAGAGTGAAATTTTCATCGAGACTCTCCGCTTGAACAATAGCCTGCAAAGAGATTTGTGCTTATACAATGTGTGAAATAATACTTGTCCGCAGAATTAGTATAATAAGTGAGTTCTTAATGTACATAATAATAATTTTATTTTAGTGAAAAAAAAACTAAATTGACACACTATGACGTAATAAGTTGCCGATAGGATTGCATATTAATTTATAACGCAAAGTAGTTAATATAAATATACGCAAATGAGTTTAAAATATTTGATATCTTTTCAGCTTTTTATTGGTGTTCTTAGTTTTTACATGCAACACACCTATATGCGAATGAAATAATCGTATATAAAAAATAATCGTATATAAGATAGATAATCTATATGCTATGATATATTCCACGCAAAATTATTGTGAGATAGGCAATTAAATGCGGAAAGCGGCTGTATTTGATTTAAAAGTTTATTGTGACGCGACGCAATATCTATTTCTATCGCGGAATAATTGTCTATTGGTGCGAATTTGTGAAAATGATCTAATTTGCAAGTTCGAACTCTCAAGCCTCGAGCGACATACTCTATTTATTAAAAAAAAATTAACGCGTTGATATTTCAAGTATTCTTCAGTCACGTTTACAGCTCGAATTGGATGTAAAGAAAAAAACTACAAATTCAAGACGAAAACTTGTTTTTTTATAACTACCAAAGCTAACCGATAAATTTTCTCACTTTACTTCTGGCAAGTTGTTTAACTATGCGTCTCTGCCAAGTTTGTCAAGTATTCTATATACTTCTGTTTACGAAGTTTAAAGGCCTTAGCTGTGTGTGATAGTAATATTGTTTAATTAATTTTAAATATTACATTTACATTTAAATATTAAATATTAAATACATTAAATATTACAATATTTTTCTATTAAGATGAAGTATTTTCTTATATTGTTAGTTTTATTAGAAATATTTACAAGAATCGTTCTGAATTCGATTTAAAGTTGAAAAAAGATATTGAAACAAATAGTTTTTAAACAAGAAGAAATTTCACGATACATTTGTCGTTCAGATCGCATAACTCGAGGTTGTGGATTTGTCATATATAATGATTAGGCTTGGCGGCTTGCCAGAACTTCTCGTGAGTTCACGCCGGAATTTGTGGTCTCGTAAACAACCGGCTATGTCTTGGCTTTCGCGGCCCAACCGCGAGTTCGAGAGGCTACTACGCGCGTATTACGATTGAACCAGTTTCCGCTTGGAAAGAACTAGCGGACAAACTAATTTTTTAAAAGAATTTTGAAAGAAAGTATATTAAGAGTACGCATTCATCCGTGCGCGCAGCAAATAATTTCTTTGCGAAGATCTCGAAACCCAATATATTTTACTTATAGATGATACGATTTATTAGCGTTCTCAGGAATGATCTTTAAGAAAGTTTTAGACATAGAAGACTTTCTTGCAATAAAACAGAGTAATACATTCAATCTATTTAATAAATCTTTTCAATATCGTGTATGTGTGTGGGGTAATTCATCTCTCTCTCTCTTTCTCTTTGATAGTTTTCTATCAAACATACACCATATGTAAGTATACATCTTGTAATATGATGAAGTATTATTGTAAAATGTATTATGGATTATATGTTAAGATATTTTTTTAATCGTAATTTTATATATGTATGTAGTCCATTCAAGTAGATATAATTGCCCGACGAATTGAGCCCCTTATCGGTAACGGCCACTCTCCATGGCACATTCTCGATAGCTCTCACAGTTTTGATAGAGTTTCAATCAATTTTCTTGGGAAAACAAAAACGTTAGGTGACAATATCAAACTTTAAATTTGACAGAGTCTTTTTCATATAAGTAATTTATTTTAATTATTTCGATAATAATAATTTTTTCTAAAACAATTATTTGATTTTTTGTAAAAACATGAATTCTAAAACGTTTTTCGAAAAATAACAAAAACTTTTATTTTATTAATTTTTTAAATATATATAAACAGTGAAAAGTTACGTTTTTTTGTGTTTTTGTCCGAATTTATAACAAAATATAAGAATAAAACAACAACCGACGAAAAGTTAAAGTTAGATAAATTTTTATCTATTACGCTAATACTTACCTGGAATAAATCTCCGGCTGTGACCTTTTGAGGATCACAAGTTACCTCTACACGTTGTCCTGTTAGCATTATTACGACTATCCGGCCAGAGTTGCTCGCCTGCGCAAACGAATAAATTACTAGTTTATCATTATCATGTCATTTTTCTTTCTCTTTTTTTATGTGAAACTAGAGTTATATGCAACATATACAAATATATTCTAAGTGTATATGATGTGTATATACTATACGATAATATATAATATTACACAAAAGTTAAAAACATAAGTTACTTATAGTTTTTTATTTTTTAAATACATTAAATGTTTACACTTAATGTATTATTTTATTAAATATTATTTATATCGATTTCTAAAAAGTTGTGCACAATAAAGATGAATGTCATCAATATCCGGTATGGTCTAGTGGCTAGGATACCTGGCTTTCACCCAGGAGGCTCGGGTTCGATTCCCGGTACCGGAAAATTTTTAGTTTTACACACAACTAATAAAAACAAAATTTTTTAAGTAGTAAGTAAAAAATAAATTTTATATATAATTTTATGCTTTTTTTGCATATTTTTTATGTACATATTGTACATATTTTTAATATTTAAACAAATAAATAATTTTATATAATTTATATATGTATATAATTACATAAATATTAAATTTCATAAGTGTACAAAATAAGTATACAAAATACTATTTTTGTAAAAAAATATGTATTACTGTAATATTGATATATTTTGTATTTCAAATATTTTAATTATTATATTTTGTATGTAGTGATATATAACATTTTGTTTAAAAAAATTGTATGAATATTGAATATATTGATATTTAAATATATAATATAAAAAAATACAGTAAAAAAATCATAAACATTTTATGTCAAAAAATATAATTCCGGTACCGGGAATCGAACCCGAGCCTCCTGGGTGAAAGCCAGGTATCCTAGCCACTAGACCATACCGGATTGAGGAAAGTGCTTCTAAAGTTACAATATAAGCAGGTGTAAGTAAACCAAAAACTTTACACAATGACTAAAATAATTAATATATAATACATTATTATATTACACACTATGCATTTATTTAAAAAAAAGAATAAAGATAGTTCCAATTAAGTATTTGTATAACAATATAAAAATTCGACAAATATTATATTTATTTTTTATTACAATTGTTTCTTCTCTATTCTTTATATAATACTATAGTTTTTTGAAAATATAAATTTTTCATTATAATGTATAGGATGTCCAGTAATAACTATATCACTCGTGGACAGATAAAGCGGATTATACTGCGTCAAAAAGTCATTGCAAAACTAATAATAAAGAATTTTTCAATTCAATACAATTCCCTATACCTGTTGACATAAAATTGATAATTGTTGACCAAACATTTTATGTATGTGTGATAAGTACGTAAAATATAGACCTCCCTAACGTGATCCGGTATGGTCTAGTGGCTAGGATACCTGGCTCTCACCCAGGAGGCTCGGGTTCGATTCCCGGTACCGGAATTTTTTTTTTTTAATTTTTTGGAATGTAATTAATATGGGTAACTAATTTTTGAAGTTATAGGAGTAAAAATTATGAGTTTTTTTTTTAAATATATATTTTAAAGTCAGCAACTTAAGCTATGCAAAGCATAAGATATAGAGTACCAATCAATATCGCGATAAAAGATACTTTTATATGCATTTATATGCAGTTTTTCAAGAAAAAGAGAGAAGACTTGTATTTTTTCATACCTTGATTTGGCCTACACATAACGTTTTTGCGGGCTGATTGGCACGAATCACAAACTCAGGACCTACACATTGAGCTTTGTTGAAACACCTCATAGGACCACCAAGCGTTCGATACAAGCGTGATGGAGCTCTTTGCACTGCTTTTCCCCGTCTACCTCTTGGCCCATTTCTTGTCAGTATTCTGAAAATAGTTTTTTACACTTTCTCAAAATTATTAACAAATAAATAACGAGAATAAATTATAGAATTATGTAAAGTTTTAGAAAGAGCGTAGTAAATTATCATAAAATAAACGTACATAATTTTTTAATGAGAACTGATATTGCATAAGACTTATTTCTCTTGGATTAATTTTTTTCTCATTCCTTTTTTCTCTAAACCACGTGATTAATATGGATCAAGCTGGCTGGAGCTTATCATTAGGTATAAGAGACCGCAATGCTCGTAAGTAAGCAGCGAACCGGAACGCTTATAGCAAAATTTCACAGACGTGGAATGCGATTCACTATATGCAGCTGGACGTTAACAAACTCTCGCACTGAGTTTAATTAAACTTTAACTAGGGTAGACTCTACGGATGTTTTTTTGGGGCGCTCATCGCTAAGTGCCTTCTTATTTTGACCTTTTCTTTTCTTCTATTCTGTCTGTCTTCTGCCATTCGTACTGGAACTTAGAGAGAAGAAACGAAATAAAAGATCACAAAGTTCTCTCGAGGCCAAAACAATTTTTGCGATACGAAAGAAATTGTGTGGAGAATAAACTTGCAATCGAACGATAACATTTATTTTACTAATATTTTCGGAATATTTGAATTTGCGGACCGTTGAAAATTGTATATAGCAAACATTCTGCATCAACATTTCTGCGCTTTTTTTGGAAAATTACCGAGTTGTGAAGACAATAGTTTAATCAATTAATATTCTGATTTAATTTTTATGTAACACAAGTTGTAATAACTTTTATCTTTTTCCAATATATGTATGCTTCTCTATTTTTGCTCAACTATATGTCATTATAAAATCCAGGATTCTAACTTTCGCGAAGATTGAGGGTTCACCGGTGTATATGCCACGTTTCGATTTTTCCATAACCGACATGCAAAAAAGCACACTACAACCGGCTGCATCAACCAGTCGATTTCATGCGCTCCGGGCGTACGGAGCGCTTTGAAACTACAATAGTTAGCGTCAACGGAGCTTCAAGTGGTGCCTTTTAACGAGAGAAGCCGTATAAAAGTCGCTCGGAAGCGTTTATTAACACGAACATATGAGTGGGAGGCAAAACTTAATCATGCGGATGGCGTGTACGAAGATTCCGTGACTCTTTAACGTTCCATTGTGTTTTAATTTAATATCTCTCGTTGCAAGATTGATGAAATTCCGGCCGGGAAAATATGAATTTCGATAAGGGTAAATAAACAATATTTTTTTCAAAGTTTTGAGAGATGGCCAATTCCAGCTGTTATACAAACACTACGTGCGATAATAAACCACTGTTTGACATTTGTTTTTTCTGAAGAATGAAATTTGTCAGCAATGTGATACTATCTACATATTGTTTCGGATACTTATCAATCATCCGATTTATTGTATATAATATTAAAATTAATTATTTTTGTATATAATATATTTCTGAATTGTTCGTCTCTGATATTATTTTACGCAAAGTTGCGAGTCGGTTTGCTCTCGTACAACGGCGTTATCATACATTGGCATTGCTTTAAGAAAACTCTGTGTACGATTTTCCGAAAGAGCTGATTCTCTGCTTTTCAAGATCATACTTAATACAAAAAGAAGTGTCTAATTAAGAACGCAAGTCATTTCAGATACTCGTTTTCTTCTTCTCTTTTTGCTTCAAACGAAATTGGGTATTGATTAAAATTTTATTGCAGTAGATCGAACGGCTCGCAAAGATTTAAAATAGCGAGTTGCATCAAAATTGTTCCTCCGTTGTGTAATGAATAATAACACAACTCGTTATTTAAGTCTCTGATGAACAATCCGTTCTCTTTTTTCTTTTATCGCGACTGAAGCTAGTTTAACAGGCTACAGTTAATTAATGTCAGATAATTGATCGCGAAAATACAAACAATGACTACCTTGGTGGTTTCGCCGGCGGTTCCGTCTGGCTGTTGCACTCCGAGTCCGAGAAAGCAGCTCTTCTGAGAGAAGTGATAATTCGAGGTGGCTTCGGAGGTCCCTGAATTCCTCTGAGCTTTATGGAAGACACTGGATTTTGTTGTCGAATCGTCTGTTCTTCCTTTCGTGTGACACCACCGCTGCCACATCGAAGCTCGGTAGTCGCAACACTCGGTTGCGACAGTCGCTTGAAATCTTTGTCAGATTGTACTCTGCTCGGCAACTGGGGGTTTGAGTGTTGTCTTTGTAGAAATATTCTTTCCGGAGGTACTCGTCCGTAAAGATCCTCGCAAAGACGCTCGCTCGGTTGCGAACTTACGTCGGATTGTGAACGGCCGGTGTTCGAAGGATGCCTATTTTGTTCGTATTTTAAATGACATGCTTTGAATACTTAAAAAGTAAAATAAAACCATTGCACGGAATATACAATCATCTGTGTTTGAGTCGATTTACAGTTACACTAATTATAGTTATGTGTATTATTTATATAAAAAGGTCGATTTCTTTTTAATTTCAATAATGATAATGTTTTATTTTATAATATTTAAAAACAAAAAAATTAAAAAATAAAAATAAATAGTACAAGTAAATTTGATTTGTTCTTTTTTGGAGTTAATGTGGATATGTATTCTGCGCGTACCTGTTTATTGACGATGATCTGCCGTAAGCTTCGATGCCGCGGATCGCGGGAGGTTTTGCCGACAATCCATTGACTCTCACATCCTGGGAGCTTAAGAAGGGCTTAACCGGCAGGGCATATATCGGATCGGTGTAAACATTTCCGTCGGGATTACCATCGGCCGTCGCATTCATCGTCGTCGGCAAATTGCCGCTACTTCTGGTGTGTTGAAGCCGCGTGTAAACTGGCTGCGAATACGTCCGCGAATGATGATAAATCCGGCGTTGATGATATGTTGTTGACGGTCCGATCGATCGGCTGCCGCTCTGGATATCCAACTGCGATGGAAACTGCGCTTTGTAAGCGCTCAAGGTAGCTTCTTGATATTGCTGCTGCTGCGTTCCGCTTAAGCTCGTTAAATTAGGATGCGACTGAGAATTGCGCGATTGCGCTCTAAAATGCGTCCCTTTCATGTGATAATTGTGATAATTGTAGTGATAATCTTTCTGGCTCTTTGGCGGATGTTGCGTATAATCCTGTGTGTGATGTTGCAGCGAACGAAATTGATTATCCGGAACGTAATTCTGTTGTAGTTGTGGCTGATGACGCTGTTGAACAGTCAGCTGATTCGACAAGTGTTGCCCGACACGAACATCCTGTTGTTGAAACGACAACGGCTGATCGTTTGCAGCTGGTTGAATGTGAGTCTGTTGTTGCCGTTGTAAATGATGACGATAACCGTAGGTCTTTTGGTGATTTGATTGTTCGGTGATGACCCGCGTAGGATATTTGGCGTTCATCTGATAATATGTCGCTCGTTTTCGCGCAGCGTACTGGGGCGACCGCACAACTTCCCGATACATTTCCATTACTATGTGCGTAAAAGGCTTGGCTTGTAAACGCGTCCGACAATATTCAGATATCACCTACAAAGAGCAAGAACACGCATATCGCATTAATATAATGTCGGACTTTTATGATGTGAAACGACTTATATTGATACTTGATTAGACTAGAAAGAATTTCAATGGAAACTTTGCACAAATTATTATTTTATATAAAAAAATACTATTGCATAGAAAATTATATATAACCGTGTGTATACAGTTCACCTTAAAAATACTTAATTGATATCTTTTTTATATGTATATAGAATTACGATTATATATAATATGTATCTGCCAGACATATATAAAAATCCAAATCTAAAGTTCTTAATCGCAGACATAATAAGACCACGTCGATACGTTTATCGCGCTACTCAGCGAGCCTATTATCTAGTTTTGAAACTTTCTCGTCTTCCGGCAGACGAACTATTAGCTTAAGAGAACAATGGCTGTAGCCGGAATTCTATAGATCCAATAAGCTGAAATCCGCAGAGCGAAATGTCATTACTTATTAACGCTCTATTGTATATCGCGAAGTATTAAGTATAAAACGGTAAAAGATATCAAAAACATGGAATTCGATCAGAAGATAATAGTATATAATTCGGCAGACAATTTAATATAAAGAAGTATATTTTGCATAATATAAATCTGAGTATATAAATTCGTCGACAAAGTGTTTCACTCTTTCGTGACGAAAATTTTCTGTTATATGTACAAGCTACGGTCAGTTGTGTGTGACACGACGTTGATTCCATCATTCCGAAATATTCAAAAATAGCGATGTGCGGCAAAGATAATAGTCGTGTAAACTATTATTCTTAAATCTTCTTAAATAATAAATAATGGCAGATGATGAACTATCGCATTCACCGATTTGCAAAGTCAGGACTAAGGTTCTCGTCTTAACCCCCGACGCGTTCAACTTCCATCTGCTTTACGCGCTTTATCTGCGAGGATAGATACGGCAACTAGACAAAGTAGGTACTCGGACGGATAATTTATTGGACGCCGAGGAATCCTCGTTGAAATTGCGGCGCCGTGTTACGCTGCGCCCTTCGCGTCTTTCCATCTCCGCTAGCCTCGACCAATTTCATCAATTTCGGGAGTTATTAAGATGTAGCTGCAAACTTATCGCGGCTCGGAATAGACGACTTATTGTGATCTCCATGGCTTTGTTCTTCGCGTGCGATAACGGTAAGCGGCGTTTTTGAGATTGCTGGCCGTTAATCATCGACCTTCGCAAAATTATCATAGCTATAAACTACCTTCGTCCGCAATTTTGCTTTTGAAATCGCCGCTCGCTGTAGTTTTTAAGCCACGCTAAAATCTGCGAAAAATTCTTGGAATTGCAAGCAAACCGGTTGGTGAATTTATTTCTTATAATGTCGCAGCACCGTCGCCTAATGACGTCCCTGCGGCCGCATAAAGTAATCTCTCTCGAGAGCGAGATTTGTTTCGCGACTTAGTTTGCCTAAATTTATCGGTCACTTCACCGCGTTTGCATTAAGCTCGTTTTATTCTTCATTGTAACTTTCTCTCGTAATCAGTATAGTATTATCCACTTAGACTATTATAAAAGATAAATCGTTTGTGTTTAGATTTATTTAGCTGTTAAGTCTTTATTAATTTTGAGTGAATTATTGGAATATTCAAATAAGATTTTTTATGCACGAATGAACATCAATCATAATTCGATAAAGTAAGTCTTTTTCTTTCGTATTTAAAATTTCTGAAGAGAAGAAAGAGATTTGGTCTTTCACATCATACATACATATCTAATAGAAAGTTTATGTATTTTTAAAGTTGACAGAAAAATTTAAAAAGCGTTGAATTATTTATGTTTATATAAAAATATAATAGATATGCGCACTGTATTCTTGCGATGCATCGAGATGATGTTGCTACGTGCAATCGCATATTCTATCATACTATCTGTTTGTCCTAATATTTACACTCGAGAGAAATCTGTATTATGCGCGTTTCCTATCTGTTTACAGTTCAATCAAAATCATTTAATCACGATTGAGAACGTTCATCGCCAGTTTATCGATTGTCATGATTAAATTTCATCTTGTCGTTTGAAGCTTTATAAATAATAAGATAATATTCAATATACATAATATAAAATAAAAATCGACCGTGTATACATATATATGTATATACATATATATACAATATATATATATGCATATTAGTTCTCTTGATATGTAAATCGCAATTGTGAAATTGGGAGAATTGTAGACATTGTATCTGAAAAATATGCAATGATTTGATTCTGATACACAAACAACGAAAGTTTCAATTAATATTTATGTTTGTATTTATGTGAATAGATTACATGATGCAATACAATAACAGAAATTAATTGTATTCATTGATGGATTTATATTTTGTTCAAAGATTATTTATACTTAAATTAATGAACATATGCAAAATAGCACGTTTGTTGAAATAAAATCGGTACTTATTTTTAATATTGTAACAATAATGTCTTTGTGTTTGAATGTCATGCAATATAAAGCCTTTTTGCGGCGTTTTCTTACAATCAAATCAAATGACACATTTTTTTCACAATAGCATGAATCATTTTCCACTAGTGTTATTTTCATTATCTTGTTTTTTACGCAGCACCTTTTAGAACATGTTACACCGCAACTCGTCGAGCGATCGGTGGTGGCTGGAACGAACATTGATTCAATTGTGTGTGGTTTTCTTTCTCTCTCTCTCTTTCTCTCAATTCATATTGAAAGTGTTATCCACATATAGAGTAAAATATAAGAATGTATATAGCATTATGTGCTGTTCTATATACATTTCTCTGGGACTGTACATTCTCTAAAGAATTAAAAAAAAATGACTTCTTTCTATCTTGAAAAAAAAAAAGAAACAGAATAAGAAGAATTTCATTACATGTTCTTTCCAACTTTTTAATTGTCAACATTAAGTATCTTGATAATTAAGAAATTTTCATTAATATCTCATTATAACAAAGTTTCAAGTCATTTAAAGTATTAAAAAAAATCTGCAACACTGAATTTTATTATATAAATTGGATCTGTATTTTTATTTTGAGTTTTTTGTTATTTTTATCTTATCATAAAATGTTTTCTGCAGTAAGATAAGATTTGTTAGATATACAATTCAAACGTGGAAAGAAAATCGTCTTTTATCACCACGTTCTTTGAAATTTATTTACGTGCACGATGTGTCTACAACACAATATTGAACGTCCGTTACAATACAATATTGAACGTTCGTGTTTCCTTGTCACGCAAATCATCGGCGTCTGTCTACATCTCGAGTATCGTCTCATCGTCCGTCTCTATGCACAAATGCTGCGCAGCGTGTTCACTCTCTTCGTGATAGGTGATTCAATTAAAGCAAGCTTCTGTGCAGATGGCGACCACCCAAGAGCCGCATGGTGTCGTGGCTATGATTAAGCCTATGTGGTCCATTGATTAATCCTCGTACGTTATAATATCAAAGTCAGATATAAACAATGTCGCTGGTCAATTAGTTTTTTATTATTGAAGAATTAAGAGGTTGATATACATGTATAAGTTTCTTATATTTTTATTTATATGTCACCAAAAAAGAAGACAATCATATGCTTTGTTAGATTATCTTTTTTTTAAAGTACATGAACGTAATGCATGAAAACATACGACCATGTCGTCAAGACTGAAGCATTTGCTGGAGTTACACTCTAAGAACCGACGTGATACTCCGACATGTCTCGAAATTTCAGTGTCACGTTGGTGTCACGTATTATTAACGACAAATTGCTTTATTATCTCGCCATGGGGTCGACCTGGTTCCTCTTAGTGTCATGTTCTGCGCACATGCGCCTAATTCTAGTCCGACGCAGCTGCTTCGCAATTCACACGAGCACGTTTGCAATGCTGAATTACTCACCATTTGTAATGTAAAATATGAAAATTAATTTAACTATGTAATATTTGGTGCGCGAGTAGTTGATTTTGTTGTAAAGATCGGTTTCTGCAATATACTGGTTACTTCATGTATGATTATGCATATATAAAGTTTATAATATATATATATATATAACGCTTTAAAAATAGACTATGAGAAGTAATACAAGAAATTGCAAACATAATGACTATGATTGATTACGAGAAATTGAATCCTAATTAATCAACATTACTTGTATACGTTATTGGATATCGCTTGCGTGACTATAGATTACTTGTGGCCGTAGATTGATGTATTATGCTTATCTGACTGGAATCGTTTCGAACAGTTGCTAGCGATGTAACTGAAGAATCAAAAATGTTTGACAAAAATATACATGCGGAAAATGACTTACGCGTTGGCACGTGAAATGAAATATTGAATGCCAAAAAGACACCAGACGCTATTTGCTGATTTATTTCGTACAAGTGACAGTGCGCGCACACAAAACGGACTTGGAAATTTCGAGCTATCTAACTGTAGCGGCAAAAAAATTCGATATAGTCTCGGTTTTTTATTAAGAGATTGTACATCGCTCTGCACAATGCTCGCCAGTTACATAACACAAACGTTGTGTGCGTGCGCGTGAGTTTTTGCATTGACGATACAACAATTCAAATATGACAGCTTTTCAAAGAGAAAAAACAAAACGCGTTTTGAATGTGCGCGTGCGCGATTATCATAAGTAAAAAATTAAATAAGACAGAACAACACAGAAGTACAATGATATCGCTAGAAAGAGACCTTATAGGAATTGAATAAAAAACTTTTAATAAGACTCAAAAACTTACGTCGAGTAAATTCATCAAAGAGGCACGTCTGCGAGGATCAGGCTCCGTCATGGCAGCCAACACAGATTGCAAAGCAGAAGAAGGTGAAACGGAGACAGTCCCCGTTAACGCCGCTGCTCTAGGAGTCGTGTCCAATAACGCTCTTCCTAAAGAATACATCCACATCTGCAATTAAAAAGAGATTAAGTTTTAGTAGATTCGCAATTTTCATGACGACGAAAATTGGTCAAAAGGTGAAAAGAATAAGACAACTTATTCCTTTCACTTTTATTTGAAAAACTCTCTTATATATTGTATGTACAATATTTCTGCTCAGGTTTTTAAACTTGCACTGAACTTGCATAAAGCATTTCCTTGTTTTAGCAAGATGCTCAGTTGATAAATAAAGCAGCTGTCTCTAGGAAAAATATTAAGTAAGAAAAAACTATTTTTATTGAATTCTAACGGCAATAAATTTTGAACACTTTGTCGATTAATAAATGAAGAAGCAATAGCACACATTTCTCAAGCAAAGACACAGCATTCTCAGACGCAACTTTCATACATTGGCTAAACTGTTGTGTCGTTAAACTCGCGCGTCGAATAATAGGTACATCAAATTTGAATCTCGAAAATCGAGCCTGTTTCCATGTGTGAAACAGATTTAGTAACAATAAATTGTTTTCTTTTCAAGAAGAAAACATAGACACTCTCATACACACACATTTAAATATATATCTAGAAGGATTAGATAGAGATTCTAGAATATCGATATCAGTTATTGATGTTTTTTACTAAAAAAAATGATGTTGTCGTCCGATATGTTCATCATAGTTCGATAGTACTTCGATAGTACTTCGAGATAGATAGATTATGTAAATTTCCATACATGAAAAATAAACCTCACTCGCTAGTTCTATACTTGATATAGAATAACTAATACAGACAATAAATAACGACACAGAGAAGAAACTAAATAAGATCGTATCACTATGAACAATTCGTATTATGTACATTTTTATAAAATGTAACAGTGTTTGCATTTGTTTGCAGTTGTAATTATATTTCTCGGTTTTCACTAATTTTTTTCGCTTAGCGGTATGCGAGTATAAAAAATTCGTTAGCATTCGTAATTAAACGAGTCAAAAAGCGCAAATTTTTTGCGAATTCAAGCCACATTGACTTCAAGCCTGCAACCGCAACTTTCTTGTTTAGTTACGCAAAAGGGAAGCGAGAGAGATGGTAACCGTGTCACATACACCGCTAGATTCACGTGATTCCCATCGTATACCGTAGTGTCAGAGAGATCATTCCGGCAACTCGCGCTCGTGCACTACCACATCACGCTGTGAAAAATATAAGAGCGACAACCACCGGAAAAAGGAACGGTTTTTCGCGTTGACTTCGTGTCGCCCAGGTAATCGCTGTGTGTTCTGATGTTGAAGCTGCCGCCGTCGGCATTTTGTGTTTGCCGGAAAAGTAGAACCATGACACAAGCACAAATAATGCACACGATTCCGCTATCGGTGACGGATTTGGGACATATTTTGAACCAAAAGTATGATTTACACACTTACACTGAAAAATAAAACTTAAGTCTTGGATAAATTTTGAGATTGAAACGATATGAAGATATTATATATGTGTCTATTGGAACTTTCATACAAGATAAATTATTCGAAACATAAAAAAAGATTTTGAAAATACTTTATATATCACACAGACGGACAATTATAAAATATTTCAGACAATTATAAAATATGACAGACAATTATAAAATATGTGAATATTTAAATATTCACATCTTTAACTCGCGTGTTATAAATTCGTTGTTTCTTAATGCCGTCAGAAATCAGAGAAGATTACAACAAAAATAAACAAGATATTGTTGCTCGCGTTTACTTCCTTCTTCATTACATTATACAGAGAGAACTTAGGAAAAGACGGCTTCTCTTTTGCGCTTTGTGACTGCAACGTCAAATTAATTTCCTCCTGCAGATGTAGAAATCTTTTCTTTTGCCTTCCTGTTCGAGTTGTAATACTGAATATTCAACGAACTGTTAATTATCTTCTATCTAAAGCACAGAGAAACGTAATAAAATTTATCATATTTTCTACAGAGAGCACGCAGTAAAGCACACGCTCTTTTTAGTTTTCTTTCTCTACGAAAATCTCGTGTAATCGCAATAAATCCGAATTTTTTTCTATATCAAATTTTCACTATATCCGATTGAAACTGAATATTTTAATGTTAGTTTGCGTAACAAGTACAGACAAAAAGAAAAAAAAGAAATTGAATTAAATTCTAACGAGTTTTACTGCTCCAAGTATTTTACATTTAATCACTACCGTGCTTTTGCGTTAATCAATATCTATTTTCTTTTTTTAAACGCAAAAAAAAAAAAAATAAATATCTTTTATTCGGACACTATCACCATCACAATATTCTCTTATTTTGACAAAAACAATTTAGACAGAAGGTTAAATGTCAAGTTTTGTTTAACCAATCTATATAAAGTTTTTTATTTTACGCAAAGAAGTTTTTGGTAAATACATGATGTTGAATAGTATAAAGTCGAATTTATTTATAATAAAATTGAACATTGTGCTAAATCTTTATTCGAAAGGTTTACTTCTTCACTTGTTACGCAAACAAACTCTTTGACTATGACGTTTCTTCGTGATCGCGTAAGCATGAATTATCACACGTCTATCGCATGATTAATGAGCGCAGCGATGGAATGCATCAGGGTTGTACGCTTTTTGTAAAGAGTTATCTTCTCATTGAAGGATAGGAGCGAAACAGGGAAAAGCTTCGGAATTGGTGATATAAACGAACGAAGGACCGAAGTTTATTTATCGTGTGCGCCGTTTGTTCTCCCTTTAATCTGCAAAAGATAAATACCAGTCCGTTGGGGTAAAACAACGGAACCCTATCCGAGGCCGTTGACGGGAAGAAAGGATGGCGCTAAAAAGGGGGAAAGGGATCGCAACGAGGGTGGAGGAAGTGGAGATTGCGAGAAAATCCGCGTTAAATAAAAAAGTGCAGGAGGGGAACACAGAAACTGTCGTCGGCCTCAACTGCTTCTCTGTCGGTTCTTCGAATAGTTCGCCTCTCGCACAACGACGAAACCGTTAAAAATTCACTGAGCGTTGAAACGCAGCGGCCGAGCAAATAAAAAGTTGAGCTGTCAAAAGACTGGCGGCTTAATCTCTTTCGCTCTAAAAGGATTTTAATAGAAAGCGTTAATAATTCTTTCCGCGCAATTCTCTTTTAATTATATATCATCGATGGTCTCGCTCTTTCACATAAATATACCGTAACTTATAAGCGCAAACGTATAACCGGCCGGAGAAACGGAGTTGTTTCTAACAAACGTGTTTGCCCGTCCGATTTCTCGCTCATCGTGTTTATTCCGCTATGCGCAATCATGCAAATCCTCTCTTTTCGATATATTTACTTTCGTTAGTATGATATCAAGCAATCAGATATTGCATTATTTGATTAATGGAAATTTGCTCGAACGTTTCGTGAATTCGTAGAAATTATGTGTCACAGAGAAAGTAAATTGAGAAAAAAGAGAAAATTTACCAAAGAATAGAAAAAGTCAAAGTATAATGAAATATATAAAACAAAATTTCACACAAAATGCTCATGATAATCAAGAAAATTGGTTAGATAATTGGAAAGCAAGTGTAAAGTCAATATCAGAATATTGTTTTAAAATGTATCGCGCGCGATATCCTTGTGTGACGCGTTACGTTACTAAATTACATGCGTGCCATTAATTGCTGCGCTGAAAGTGACGTACTTTTTCCGAATCCGTGTCTGAATAAACGCGACCGGGTCGATATTCTGGCGGCAGGTACGCACGAGCAGTTTCCGGTGGTGCGAGCTGCAGCAAAACCCTACCACGTGGTGTCAGTTCCAGTGTGTGCGGAGTCACCACCGGTCCTGCTCTCGAACCACCTACCACGCCTCCATCTGAAACAAATATTAATGGGAAATGCGAGCTTGTTGTCAAAAGCCATAAACTTATGTCTACGGTATAAGTTCTCGTAGTATAACAAAAAGTTTGCACAAGGCATTCAATAAACAAGGGGAACAAAATCTTTTAAATCTTTTAGCAGCACTTTTATGTAAAAACTGAACTGTATATTGATATTTTCTTAATTTATTTGATCAAATTATGTAGATATTTTGAAAAAAAGACGGAAATTTTTTTCTGCAAAACTTTGCTGTATGGCAATGTTGCTTGTACATGAAGCGTGTCGATGAAATTGTGAAGTTAAATCGCGTCGAAGTCAGAGAAAAGATTAAAAAAACCTCTTCGATAATCCGCAAATCTAATCTTTTGCAAGCACGTAATCGTGTTTTCTTCGATCTATATCTACAGTTTTTGTGTCGACTCAGATGCTCTTCCATCGATGTCTTTAGGTGACTTCCTCCGAATAAGGTAAATAACAGAAATCGATCGAGATCGAGTTTTGTTCCGTTCTTTGTGTTAAAAGAATATGATTATTAGAATTGCATCAATTCTAAGATCCGGCAATTGTTTCGTAGAAGCGTCGCATTTTACATTAGCGTTATTTCATTTTCTTAGCTACGTCATCGCATTTACTGCACGAAAATGTTGCTTTTAATGGCAAAACAGTCAGACGTGCTCAACTATCCATTTACACCGTTCTCATTATAAATTTCGTATTATAATTCGCCATTCGGGGGTGCTAATTTTGCGCGTGTCACGGACATTAACAGCCTAATGGCGGGCTAAAGCGCCTTGACACGGAGAATATTCTCCTACGAGGACGTCCCGGATAATTTAGGCAAACGCTTCGACCGAAATTCTTCCCTTCCTACTCTCTGCCTTATAAAGACTCTATAGAAATTAGCGAAGGTTGGCAGAATTGACACGCTAAACGATTAATACTGCGAGCACACACTCAATTAACTTTTGTTAATACTGGCGCAATCACTTATGATCTGCCATCGCATTTTATTTAACCGAAACCGAAAAAACAATTTATATATATGTATAAATCTCTCAAATAGAGTGAAATATGTATAACAAATTGTAATACAAGTACAGATTGCTTTAAAATCGTACTCTTTCGAAATTTAATTGTAAAGCTACGAGAATATTACATTTTTCAATTTTTAATTTTCGGAAGTACAGTAAAAACATACATATTCATTTATTCCTCTTTATTTAAACTTTCTTAAGCGTTTATCAAGAAACTTAGATTTTTACATTTTGTATCATATATTTGCTAAGACAAATAGAAAGATAGTACGCGAGTATGTCCAACACCTGCCGTCATTCGTTTTTGTCATTTGTTTTGTTCGGTAACATGAGCCATGTTTTCTGATTTTTAATAATCAATCTCTACTATTGGACAGCTTTCCATGTAAATTAGAAAGCAAGAATGTTCGACGGAATGCTCCTAGCGATAAACTATTTCCGTTTACCAAAGATTTAAGGAAATTACGTGAGTCTGAACAGATCGACATGTTTCCTGATCAATCTCAGCTAATCTGAAAATAGAGAGAGAGAGAGGGACGACGACGACGACGACGACGACTTCGCGTAATCACGTTGTCTGATCATTTGCGAAATGTTTCTCTCTCTCCACGTTGATATCTAGTTGGAATTACATATAGCTCCAGTAATATTTACAATTTAATTATATAAAAAAGCTTTTGCATTTCTTTGATAAATTGTAAATAAGTGCATAAATTTAACAATTCAAATTGCGAAAAGAAATTTTTTTAGTTCTATTTTTTATTTGATATTGATTCAAATACTGAACGCGTTAATTATCGATGCCGTTTGAATTTCGTTGCAGAAAGAAATTCACTGGATAAATTGCACAACGTTCCCGAGCGTTTGCGTCATCTGTCACTGTCGGTTTTTATTATCGTCAATGTTATTTTTTGTTCGATGTTGAATCAGTAGTCGGTCTCTGTAAACGATCGGACTGTATAAACGAACGCTGCAATTTGATCACAAAGTCACGATTCACTATCTTGACCACGAAAATCTATGGAATCTAATGACACGATTTTTTTTAAGGTATCATTTATTACGGCAAAAAATTTGTAATAGCAGATCGGAAGATAAATATAATTAAGTAGAATTCCGGAAAACAAGTTTATGAAAAAATAATAGTTTTCTTGCCAACATCTTGCACTCGACGATTGGTTTAAAGAAATTGGAGATCCATAAATTACTGCAATGTGTGTTCATCTATTTTTCAACCATGCGTTAGCGAATTCCAGGACGGTTTCTTGTTTCCGTGGGTGTAACATAAGTGTGCACGCGTGTGTAAGAGAAGGATGAGAACATACGTATATATATATATATCCTGGTCTCATATATATATGTGTATATATATATATACGTGCGAATGTATATACAGAGCTTCGACATTGATAGATAGTCTCCTAGAGAGCCCTCTGCTTCTGTCTGTCCCATAAACACTGACCGTTTGAAATCCACCCTCTGCCACCCTCTCCTTTCTCCGCTCTATTTAGTGCCGCCTATATCCATTAAGCAATTTGGTGAGCAAATGTGGCCAAAAAAAAACAATTGTGTTTGCGAAATGAGAATGCACTGTGAACAAAATGATTTTTTCTTTTACGTTCGCAAATTGCTGATGAAAGTTTGAATAAAATATCATTGACAAGTAATTGAAAAAAATTTACATGAAAATAATACCGTGTATGACACATGCAAAAGTAAGATTGATATTTTCTGAAATGCGAATTTAACTTCAACATCAGAACTGTGTTGTAAAAAAGTTCTTTCCTGCTCGGTATTGAGTAGACGGGACTTCAAACTTATATCCTCTACAAAAAAAGAAAAATGCAAAGTCGCAGAAAATGTCGGTTCGCGGTTTGCGATTTATGGGTATGGGTTTCCTACGCGGATCAGATGCCGGGTTATTGGTGCGAGTATTTTAAGAAGAAGTCTGATACTGACGCGCCTCTTTCCACTTGAAAGTGCAGAAGAGAAATATGCTCCACCTGGCTCTTATTTGCAGCGCGGCTTGTCGCAAGTTAAAGACATTAGCATAATCTTGGCAAATTCGCATTCCCGTTGTTTTAAAGCTGCATTTGTTTAACATATGCAATATTAATCGTTTTTTGAAGTTTTTGACGTTTATTTATTATGTTTCTCTTCTTTTGTATTTTTATCATCACACACAAAAGCAGTGATTTCATAAAAATCACTCTTACCAAGTTTGTTCCAAGACAGAGTGCGAGTTCTACGAAGATCAGAAAACTTTTCATTATCACAAGCATGATCTACAACTTGAACGTTATTAAAATTTAGGTCAGGATATCAAAAAATCAAAAGTTCGCAAAACAAACACATCGTGAGACTCACCGCTCAAGGCTAACGCGCGATAACACTAGCGTCGGTTTTCACGAGGTTGGAATTTCATTTTATAAGGGAGAATGTGGAAATAACTGACATTCCGCGAGTTCCCGCTATTCGCATAACTTTCCGCTACAGTAGGCGCGACGATTTACACGAAGATGCATATCTCATCGTGACGACCGCGCGCCGATAAAATGGCTCATATACATCAGTTAGAGGACGAATAACGCTGGTGGCTTGATGCAAAAAAGATTTGGTATTTTTCAGGTTCTGAGGCGAGAAAAAGTGCAAAACCGTCGTCGGGTTTGACATTCGGTCAAAGCTTTGTGTTACGAACGTTTTTCATCACTCTTGTTATATCGGTCGGCCGAGCAAAGTTTTTGCAGAACTTAACTCTGGTTGCATTAGCTACGCCACGAGAGACCTACATCGAAACAAATGCATCTCAATTCTGCTGCCTTTAATAGCAATCCTCTGTTTCGCGGGTGAAGTTCCAGGTGAAGCCTTGAATTGCAAAAAAGCGAAACGAAGCATAGTGATGTAACGCACCGAATGCATTTCTCATTCAGGGATTTGGCTTGTACTTTTCAACAACGACAAGAAGTTTGCATTCGATTGATACAACAACGATTCACGTTTGGAAATTGTATAGGATTAATACGATTGAACAAACAGCGTGGGTTATGCTACAATGTTCAGATTTAAAAAAAACACAAAAACTTATATTTTCTCTTCACGATTTCTCTCTAAAAAAAAGTTATTTTTCCTCCATTAAAAAAATTACATTCTTCAGTTTTTTTTCAAACTACGAATGAGACAAAATGTTTACTGAGAAATATCTAAAAAGCAAGCAGTGTGCTCGGAAAACTGCTTCGGGACTTGATAAATAATCGAAAGACAAATTAATGTGAAAATTAGAACGGAAATCACTGTAATTTCGTCGACGTTCAAGTTAACCGTCGCCGCAAATTAATTTAGACGCCAACGACAATAAAGAAACATAATTATTGCCTAGATACGTGAGACGTCTTGGAAAAAAAGCTCACGGAAAAAGGTTAAAGCACTGCCGTCGCCGGCGCCAGAGGGTGCGTCACGGAATTCAGGGAGTAAATATTTAGTTTGAGCCTACCGGTAAATGACGCGACGGAGATGAAAGACCATTAGGGGTTATATCTCGCTTTAAGAGCAAAAGAGGGATCGCTCATCCGCGCAACCTCTGGCAACTCCTTAGAAATTTGTCTCTTTGAGAGAGACCGAAAATAAGTGAAACAGCCGGCTCGGCACACTGTATATAAAATATACCATATTTTACATTTTCTAGTTTTTTCAACGCTCCACTGGCCCTCATTCTATCTTCTGCGCGAGTATATGCGATGCCATATGAATGAATTAAAACGAAAAACAATACAGCAATCAATAATGACGAGATTCCTCAAACACTACAAAACTTTTTGAGTCAGACAAACTTTCCAATTCAAAACCAGAGAAGATTGTAATATTTTTACTTTTTATTGCAAGCAAGCGCAAGAGTATTCTTCGTTTTAATTACATATAATTTAAGAAAGATTATAAAAGTTTTAAGTTATACAATATCTCTGAA